ATTGGGAAATAATAGTGCTTCGATGCCGTATAACGTTTAGGTGCAAAGATACACCAATAAAAACAGTTCAGTTTCCTGGCATTCTGTGTTCAGGGGTCGAGATTAGCGGTATCCCGATATCCGCGGGATAGTAGATTCTTGTGTTGGATACCAGATTTCAATGCTTGGTATCCCACCAAAATAGTAAAAAAAAAATTGTCAAAATCGGGATAGTGGTTGTTGAGTTATCAACTTTATATGGCAGCGCATCTGAACGAGTGCGCGTAGAGCGAATGCGCGCGATCTGAGCGGGCTCAGGCACCCTTACTATGCCACACTAGCGTTATACAGCAGGCATAGCATATTTGCAAGTGCAAGCGTAAGCGTGGCTGATGTTGATCATAAATGTGATGTGTATACATTGTATCAAGCGAACCAGACAATGCGTCGAGACACTACGTCTGCAGTGTACTTGTCTGTGCATATCTGTGAATCTGTTTTCATGTTTTTATACAATAATTATATTACATATTAATAATTTTCAAATTCTATTATTGCATATTTCAAGATTTTGGATACCAACATTGTTGAAATTACTATCCAAAAAATGGGATACCAGATCTTTGGGAAGGATACCAGATTTCAATACCTGGTATCACAAATGGATACCATAATAAAAATCTAATTTCGACCCTTGGTGTTTAATTGAATTTTTATCTATCTATCTCTATCTATCTATGGTTACGTCGATCTGTCACTCTTGACAATATCTCAACGGTATTCATCGTATTGACTATTGTATCTCCGTATACTACCTGGGATTAGGACCCATATTTCATCATATTTCACTTACATAGTATTTGAAATATAAATAACTTAAGTTGTAGTTTCGTATTAACTTTCCTCACCTGTGGTTACACTTCTACCTCCATAAAACCAACTAACATTAACGCCGTGGCTATGTTTACGGAGACGCAAATACGTTTATTGTTTCTATATTTATGGTTTCCCATCATGCAAAGCGCCGCGGACAAGTGCAGCCCCAACATGTTTACATCCGTGCATGGGAAACTACCTCGAAAGTGTACTGTTTTTGTGACTAATCAACTTAGATTTACTCGTCCTGCTATATGCAAGCACACATTGATAAACACCACAGGCACTTGAACTGTTTCAATAATAAAATTATGGTTAATAAATACAACTTGTCAGTACTAGACCTACCAGTACCAGTACCAGTAATAGTCTTAATGTTTGATTTGATCTAATAACTTCACTTCAACACCGTCCAATACACCGCTGCAACACATAGCGCGCACGCCATTGCGCATGCACAAATACACATGATATAGAGAAGGTAAGAAAGCGTTCGCACAGAAATTCCAGAACGCTCGAATCTTTTCACAACACTAGAGCCAAGATACACAACAAACCGCCATGATATTGGCATCTGTGTGTAGCTGAATGGTCACTTGTTCGAAATATACGTCTTGCAACTTGGTACCACATACTTTACCCAGAATTATATGAGAAATCCTGCTCGAATTTGCCGCGAATTTCCCATGAAGCCGCTTCGTAAATGGGATCAGTACATGAGTAATGGCGGCGCATTGCATTCTGGGAGCAGAATTGCCGCGTATATAGAACAGACGTATATTTTTTTTACTAGCCGCTGTGATCATTACGATTATCACAAAACTGCCACCAATACATACTGAATAGTTTTATATTGCCTTACTACTTCCTCTGTCATCATCTGTATACATACAATTTTGTTGGTCCACTTTGCTGCTTCACCAGGCCTGGGTTCTGCTGTGCGGACTCAATCACATACTGCAAGTTATTTATAAATGCAGGGACATGCTCATGTCAGCAATTACCTTTTTAATAGTTTGCAATTATTCTTAGTCACAGCTGTTACAATAAATTGAAATTTTCATTGGAGTAGATATTATCGTGAATCTGGAATGTTGAGGGCCCTCAACTAATGTTTTAAAAAGCAATTTGAGTGGAGAGAAAGACACTCACAGTTGAAACCACTATCTTAGCTCAGATTTGAACAATGCTCGATGGTAAACTGAAGTGAGAGATAACATGATTCCAGTAATATAACAAAACAAAAAATAATGTCCAAACAAACACAAAATGTATACATTATACAGTATACAGAAAGAGCAATACATTTGATGTTTCATACCATACCCTGCAAATCAGTCTACAATTTTTAGCACAGCTAGAATTGATAGTATAGAATGAATTGACAAGAAATCAATCATGTACTTACATCAGCATATTCGCAAGCTTCCAGCAAGGTTCTCATTGCAGTGCATAGAAAATGCTGAACAGTGAGTTGTTACATGAGCATACTGGCCAAGATCCAATACTAATCACAACTCCGTTTACAAAGTAATGCTTCCCAGAGATGCCATCTAAAATTAGAGCAAAACTGTCACAGCACACAAGCAAACTTAATGTCATTCGGCTCATTGTATCTCGGGCACATTTTTGACAATTTTACAAGCTAAAGAACTCCTACCAACATGAAAGGTATAGCCATACTCTAGTTGGATCTAGGGCTGTAACGATAACAGTGATGCATCAGCGAATCGCGATACAGTGGCCCACAATATGATAATCGATATCAAGAGCACATAATAACATCCATATTATCTACTCCTGATAATAGAGCATTTCTATTATGTGCTCTTGTCGATATGCAGCATCCGTATCACGATACAAAACGATATGGATGTTGAACAGTGAATAAGCCAAGCTAAACTATATAATAAAGCACATGTAATTCCTGTTAAATTGAATTAGTGTTTTTTTTACTTTATGACCTCCTTCTCAGTTATCAAGTAAATAATCTCGGCTGTTGTAGAAATCTGGGTCAATCTATGTGGCGTGCTTGTATTACTGCAAAATTGTTACCACAAAAATCATGAGTACTGATTAACTAGTGTGTGTCGACACTGCGCATTTACTGTAGCACTGTGTATGCGCACATATAAGTGAAGCTGTCGATTACAGGTCAGTCTAGAGCACACTAAGAAAGTCTCGGTGTGTTTCAGCTATAGAAATATATATATATATAGTAACCGACTGTTTACTATATATTTCTATGGCTTTGACATACTCATAACACGTTTGTGTTATAAAAGTATTGGAATACATATTATATATATATATATATATATATAAATATTATCTTTCTGTATGTGAATCTGTCACAATATGTATTGTCTCTAATAACCTATGTATCAAGATATGTATCGTATCGTGACCCTCTGGGTAGTCAGGACCGTAGCTAACCCATTTTACACTAAGCAAAGCCACGTGTACGGTGTGTTCTGGGAAGGTGACTGCCATTGACCATGTATTGCATGTAATTTTTTAGGGGGGGGAGGGGAACGCCCCCCTTGCCCTCCGCTAGCTACAGCCCTGCTAGTGTATCGTTACACCTCTACTCTAGTTGGATCCATGGGTTTTCAAGCTATAGACATTCGTACAAAGATGTTTATAATTACTATAAACACCGTAGTTATTACATGTTTAGCATGTATTGTGTAAACCCAACATTGGGAAATAATAGTGCTTCGATGCCGTATAACGTTTAGGTGCAAAGATACACCAATAAAAACAGTTCAGTTTCCTGGCATTCTGTGTTCAGGGATCGCAATTAGC